CCAAGAAAATTTTAAAAACAACCAAAATATCCATAAACAAACAATTAAAAGTGCGACACACAAAAGATTAAAAAGAAAATGTCTCTAAACATATTGAAGATGATATGTAAAATTTTGCTAGGTGACTTCATATTAGTCAAACTTTTCCAACTTTGGGATCTTCAAGGTAGAACGAACAGCACCAATTTTTGAAGAAGACCACTCCAAAGAGTCAGTGTTGGCATCAATCTCAATAGGGCGCTTCCCCGTACTGGATGATGGTGTTGCAGCTTCAAGGTCAACAACATCAAGATTGCCATCATGCACATAATTGGTATTTTCCTGTAGAAAACAGAAAATAATAAAAATCCGATCAAGTAAAATATAAAATAAAAATAAAAAACATAACATATTTGCATAAACTCATGAAAAATGAAAGAAAAATATATTGAAGAGAAGGCATAGGTTTTGACTTTGGAAATATATTTGAGACAGTTTCCCACCTTATTTGGCTTGTTAATGGGAGTACCATTATCATTTATATTTTGGTGTTCATGATTTGGTGACCGTTTAAAAATCTCAGCAAGAACCCTTTCATCATCAGTCAACTTATGCACAGTGTAAGCATGATAGTTGTTCTGTAGATTGAACATGGATATCTGAACTTTGAAGACAAACTTCTTATTTAGAAGGATTTTGAACTCATCAGGTATCTGTTGTCGTCCTTGATCCTAATTTATAATATAAAATGGTTGGAAAAGTTAAAGAAGAAAAATCATATATGTCAATTATTAAAATAATGGAGATATATTATCAAACCTTAGCAATTTTTTCCATCAACCATTGGTTTCCACGATGAATAAGATCTTTTGCATGACGCTCAAATAATACGAACGAAGAAGACACACTTTCATCTTGCACACGAACTACTATCCTAATCCTAAAAATTATAACATAATACTTATATTTAGCTTGACATACACAATGAAATATATGAAAAAAGTAAAATACATGCATAGTCAAAGAGCTAATAATTACTTACTTTTCATGTACATCCGAGACAAATCCACAACCATCACAGTGAAAAGGGCCAGCATCAACATCATCATAATTTTTAGTAACTTTTTTAGAACAATCACGACAATAAAATGAATACCAGCCATCATCCACATCAAAACCGATGATAGTAGCGATGATGGTTAAACCAACTTCCTGTTTCATATATAGGATTGAAAGGAATCATATTAAAATCTTATTAATCATGAATTGTACATAGAAAATCAAAACAATAATAGAATGCGGAAAGTCTTATATAAAAATGTTAAGTAAACCTCATTAAAATCAGGAATCTCATCGATGTTTTTTATTTGAAAACGGAGGTAGTAATCCTCCGGATTAGCCACAACAGTATCCGAGTTGAGCTGGGATGTACGGCTAGAAGACTCAACATTCGTATCCAAAACATTAAGACTACATATAAAAAAATGAGGTTATTCAACAAAAGCAATGATTTAGTAAGATAAATGTCTTAACTATGGTAAATAACTAATTTAAGGTAATCATTACAGTTGTTATCATACACAAACATAAACCATTACATGATTCATAATTATTAAAAAAACATACTTTGATTTGAACTCTAAAATGTGAGGCATATCACCATTTATATGCAATCTAGACCCAAACAAACAATTACCAACTTGAGGCTTACCTGCAAATAAAAAGTAAAATAATATTGTCAGTAATTACTTTGAAGTTGAAATGATAATTTGTTGAAAAAAATCCTTACCACCCCAAATTTTGAGTTTGGCCAAACGTAGCAGGATAATAACAGCTGCAGTTTCATTATGATGTTGTGAAATGTAAGTATTCAGCTTCAGTGTAAAACTGTCCCACAAAGCGACTGCAATTTTCGTACCACTAAAAATGCATGGTGGTTATTAATGAAAGATAAAAAAATATAAACGGGGGAATGTGTAATAATAATACGAATGTGTACCTTAAATCCTGAGCAATCAGATTCATTAACCTTTTTTCTCTTCCATACTCAACAATGACTCGCATGGGATCAGTTGACACAACTTCACCAAGAAAATCTATGTGACAAAAATGTAATAAATTAATAATAATAATCCAAATGTGTATTACATTAAAAACTGAAGTATAGAAATAAATTAAACTAATAACATAACAACATACCAAATGCAACACGAGTGTCAAAGTTCCTGGCTAGCAAATCTGGGAAAGAGATAAAATGATAAGGATCTACCGTATCAACAAAATCAGTGGATACACGAACTTTTGTGGTTCTGTAGAAATTGATTTTATGTTTATGAGGAACAAGCATGTATTCGCCTTCATTTTTAGCCATAGCGAAGTTACTGATCTCCCTCAGCCCCTTTATCGAATAGGGATTCAAAAACAGGAATACGATTTTTTTTTATTGTTGCTTGTATTCTACTTCCCTGTAGGTGACAATGAAAGATAAAAAAGTGTAAACAAAAAAAAGTATTAAAAATACATAAAAATAATATTGTTAATTAAAATTTAATAAAATAGAAATAAAATTTAAAGATAAAGTATCAAGAAATTTAATAACATAGAAATAAAACAGAAGAACAAAAATCGATAAACATCCATATTTTTCTGCCAGGAATCCAAACAATGTGACCAGCTCATTATATGACCTGACACAATTAATAATAAGAAGAAACCGACATATTTAATTGATTATTAAAATTAATAAAGCTATATAAGAGATTACATTACATAGACTAAATTCCAGTGAAGGGATCGGGAACCAAAATCACCAGTTTTTTAATAAGTGTAAATTTATCAGATTGATAAAAAAAAGAAAGGAATAATAAGAGATTTCATTACATAGACTAAAGTTTTATTAAAAATAATAAAGTTGATTATTAAAATTATTTGAATAGAAATAAAAAAGCATAACAGAAATCGAATTAAATTTTTTTTTAATAGAAATAACATAAGAATTTGACAAATCTAAAAAATGAAGTGTGTAAAAACAGTACATCCTGGTCAATTAAAATCATGTGTAGGCTTGTGACCATATTAGGATTGTTTTTATAGGTCGGCTTACAAAGCATGACAACTTTAACACGTATTTTCCAACATTCTTTAGATGCATTGATATCAGCAACCTTATAAACACAACCTGATCTGCATTGTTAGTTGCCATGGAATAATATTATCTGCAATGAAAGGAGATAATTAGTTAGAGAGAATTTTGATTTGGAATGAAAAATCGTAGACACTATATTTATAGGGAAATATAAATTTGGCTAATGCTGATATGACATAAAGATTTTGGAATGTAATATCATTTCCATACTTAAAATATGTTTTATGTATGGTATGATATCCAAAATAATATCAATATGCCATGTCAAATATAAGTACAAAAATAGATAAAATCATACCTAATTTAAGATAATAATTACCATATAAAAAACTATAAATTTGAAAAGCTTGTAGAATAAGAAAAAAATATAATAAATATATAATCTCTTAATAAATATGGTATGATATCGAAAATAATATCAATATACCATGTCAAATATAATGGTCAAATATAATGGTCTTGAAAAGAATAAAGAAAAACGGATGTTGTAAGCCCTGCTCTTTTGTCGGCCTCCGTAGTGGGTCCCACGAGCACAATTTTTACATCACAAAAAAAACCTTAAAACTCTACTTACCTTGATAAAATTAATAGCTTCCGAGCTTGCATTTGGGATAAGGTCAGCAAGATTTGCATGCATAATCTATAAAGGGAAAAGACATAAATACCCTCCTCCTTATCCGTAGTTACAAAAATATTAAAATCAGACTCACCATAGAATAACTGATATCCATTAACCTTGCAACATTCCTTGCTTCCGGAAAAAGGGTCCAATCAGGTGTGCCAAAAACACAACATATCTTGTAGAACTGATCTATTTCACTGTCCAATCATAAAACCAAATATCTCTCATCACCTTTAATAACTTCATCTTTTGTTATGTGAAAAAAACATTGTGTACATATAATAAAAGGTTTCTTAAAAAAAAGCGAAAAGTTCATATGAAAAGCAACCTTTCCCCTGGAAACATCAGGCACAAAGTGAAAAGTTCAGCAAGTATTGCACGAACTGCCCACATATCTACAAACCAATCCCATTTAATATTAATTAGTGAGAAATCATGGATGGGACCCACAAAATATAAAAAATAACATTGTTGAAAGAATTGTATAAAAGAAAGACATAATACTATCTATGGCAGGAGTGTATGAAGAAGATTGCAACGGGACTTCTGGTGCTCGATACCTTTTTCACATAACACAATATTAAAAATTATTCTCCCTTACAACCTCCTTCAGCTTTATGATGCTAGGATGATTCAATTTCCTGAGGGGCTTTGTATTCAAACAAGAAAGTTATTAAGTTAGCTTTTAACAGTTTATATTTTATATAACTTGAGAAAACCGCAAATTTGATGAAAAAAAAGCATGAGGTACCTTACCTTCGTGTAAATTCATACATTCTTCCCAAACATAATACTTTCTCTTCATCTTCTTGATTGCAACCTGTGATATATATATGATGAATTGTAAACTAATATGGAGTTTTTTGTTAAAAAAATATCTTTTTTTAGTGATTGAAAGAGGCTTATACACTGTTAAAAAAAAGCATGAAGTACCTTAACTTCGCGTAAAGTCATACATTCTTCCCAAACATAATACTTTTATATCTCCAATATCTGCTACACTTTTATATATGAAAACAATTATTCATCAGAAAACATCAAAAAAGAAAAACAAAGATTGTTTTTTTACTAATTTGCCCTCCGTTTTCTGAAATAATTTTTTTTGCACACAACGCTTAATGGAAAAGAAAGTGGTTAAAAATTAAAATTCATACCTGCAAGCAGGTGGAGTCACAGGTTGTTGCTGATCCACAATTATCATCATTTCCTTCCTTTACAAGCCTAGGGAGAATATCTTTGAAGTATAAATCCCATATTTTTGAGGTTAATATTAATATCTTGAGCACAAGGATGCAACACCTATATTTATTATATCAATAAAAGAACTGATATAAACCCAATAAAACCAATAAAAGAACTCATTTTTCAAATTATCATTACTTGTGGGTATTCCAATGGGGGCAACATAGGGTCAGGTAAGTCTTTTGGGAAAAACGGGTGTTCATCAGGGCTCTTGTATCTTCCAACCTGTGATAAGAAAAGGGTGAAAATTCGTTATCTTTATGATGAAATCATCAATTTTTGTCACAAAATGTGACTTTTTCGGTTTCTTTGACCATGAACTCAACTAAAGAACCTTTGAAGCCATCCATGAAGAAGGCATTAGGCTCATATGTATCCTCATTGTAGCGAAATTGAGCTCTTTCTACAAGGCTAAATATAATGCTATCTTCTTGTCGAATTAAAGAACTTCTTATACCATCAAGAGTATAGATTTCATTCTTTGATCTATAAGGAAACAAATGAACATATGAAAACATTGTTCTCTGAAAAGTATTGGAATGTGATCAAGGTAGGATTGGAAAGAACCCTAAAAAATCTAAGTCAAAATTACAAGAAATGCCAATGAAAGAGTTCGAATCGATTAAATTCCGAGAAAGTCGCGGACCAATTGAAGATAACTTACCCAAATGAAGTCGCAGATGCTTGAACGGATTGAACACGATTCTTCGAACCCCCTGAATTGGGTATCTGCAAGTTCCAGTTCTTCCACATTAGAGGACGAAATGGAGTGATCGGTCTACAAGATTTAGACAAAGAAGTATAAGCGAATGGTTTACCTGTTTCTTAACGTTAGATAGGAAGAAGAGACAGAGAGACTAAATGACGAACGGAAGGAAACATTAAGCATCGGGTTTTTGGGTGTAAGGATGATGTATCGAAGGGTTAGAATATATGATTGAAATGCAATGAATGGCCCTGATTTCTTAAATGGAGAATTTAAGGTTCTCTTTTAATAATATTTAAAGATACTCGTAAGAAAAGATAAAATTGCAAGAATGGTCTATGTTATGTGTTATGCCAAAACTCGCAAGTTTGGTCCAAAAAGATTTGGACTTATGCCAGTTGTCCAATAATTTCATTTTGTTGCGAGTTTGGTCCTAAAAATTTTAAACTGTTTATAATGACGGATTTGCTCTTGATTTTTTCTCTTTTTCAATTTTTTTATTACAAAAAAAACCTCTCTCTCTCTCTCTCTCACACACAAAAGTATACACACACTAAATAATCAATCACCCTCTACATCTTCTCCAACCATCCCTCCCAAAAAACCCAAAGTCTACTGTGAGAATTGATTGTGTGTATGTGACTGCATTGGGTTTGATTTCTTGGTCAAGCATTTTAGTGAACACATGGTGTGCATATGTATGTGTTTAATTTTAGGAGTATATGTGATGTTTGAGTTGTTGGTATATATTGTGTGTGAATGTGTTCATGTCTATAACTATTGGGAGAGAGAGAGAGAGAGATTTTATTTTTGTTTTATTTTTAAATATTGTAATAAAAGAAAAATAAAATTATAAGGGGGAAATATGTCATTATAAAAAAGTTTAAAACACTTTGGACCAAACTCGCAACAAAATCAAACTTTTGGACTACTGCTGAATGTCCAAACCTTTTCGGACCAAACTTACGAGTTGTGACATGCCACATGAACTATTCTTGTAATTTTGTCTAAGAAGAATAACAAATAGGAAACGAAGAACAATTTATCAACCATGAGTGACTCCTAGGAAAACATTAAAGAGAAACATAACAATTAGTATTAGTATTAGTATATACTATCAATTCTTAAAACCTTTAGCTACAGTGCACTTTTTTCTCTTTCTATCTTTTTCCACTAAACTTCTTCTTCTCATTCAAATGCCACAATAAATCACATTCTTCTCTTCCTTCTTATCCCACTTCCCTTTCTCTTCTTTTCCATTTTCATTATTTTATTCATTGTTTCCATCCACGTTTCCTCCTTACTCTGTTGTTGATTGCCACGTTTCCCATCGTCCCTCTTCACCATCAATGAAGTGGTCCACCGCCATCGGTTTTTATATGTTTCTCCAAACTTAGTTGCCTTCTTATTTTCCCTTTCCCACCGCTTCACAAATTGAGAGAGAGTCACGAACGTCGACACATGGAGAAGAAAGCTTCAAACCACTATCACCGCATCCGCCGGCGCCGCCCGATCTAGATTTATATCTCACTGGACGCGGTGACCTCTGCTCCTCCATCCCCACCGTGCTTGTCTATATCGATTTCAATGGGAATGAAAAAAGGGAGGCCGACCGTAGATGCACCACCGGAAAAGCCAACGCCATAGCCGGAGGCTACCGGAAAAAAGGTGTACGTTAAACCATTTTTTCTATTTCTGATTTCCGCCTTCAGATTGGCTACGTCATCGATTGAATCTTTTCATTTTCGATTTTCAGATAGATGGAGGTCGGTTGCAAAATTGATTTTCTTTTTTCACTTCTGGTACTAGGTATTACGATTTTTTTCCAACACACTTCTACACTTCTGTGAAATTGATGAAACAAAGGAATAGGTGCGGGTTACCGATGTTTTCTTTTTGCTTGATGCTCGCGCAGTTCGCATAGACTGCAATAGATGCTACCGGATTTTTCTTATGCTCAATTGCTTATACCCCTATCTTATTCCGTGTTTTCCCAAAATAATTTACGTGTTTGTGATGTTCTACGGTACATGAACCCCTACACAGAAAGGAGATGGAAGTAATGACATTCCTTCAGTTTAGACTTCCTTTCACGGTACAAAAGTAAGTCGTTATTGTATCTTATTATTGAATTTTCTATAAAATATAGAATTTGTCAGTGTACAAACAGGTAATGGAAGTATCATGGGTTGGATTAATCTAATTAGATCTTGTACATATGGAGATCAGGTTGGTAACTTTTTAACTTTTTCATTATTATTATTTTTTAAATTTTTTTGATTTCTATCTTTAAATTCCTTTTGTAGATCAAAAAACCCCTTCAACACAAGAAAGAGAACCTTTAGTTGTGATTCTTCTTCAACACAACCCACTAAAATACCCAGAAGTAGAGCAGTGTTTGTGTTGTTACCATTAAATTCTTCAATTCAGAGGTCGATTAATCACTTTTTTCATTGCTCATTTGATTTTCTGTGTTCATGTGTCACACCCCCAAACCGGAACGGCGGAAACGTTCGAGGGTGGATGACGACATATGTAATATCACAACAATTGTATCATAGTAATCAAAGTAAACACAACCATTACATTGATTAAGTAAAATATTTACATCGGTTTGATTCGTGTTTATATACATCAAAAGTTTAACATAAGTAAAAGATGTGACTCTATACGCTCCGTCTTCTCAAAATCTATGTGAGGTACCTGTCTACTGATTTCCTGAGAATACAAGCAGTTTTGAAAGAGTATCAGCATAAAGCTGGTGAGTTCATAAGCATGTTTTTGTAAGGAAAATCGGTTAATGAATCAATGAAAGTATTTGTATGTTTCCAAGAAAATCCATTATTTTCTAACATGTGTATTCTGTTACTGAATCTCATAATGTATTAGTTCATATGTCTAGTTACCATTGAATGTGTTGTGCATTGTTTGTTTGAATGAGAAACCCCTTTTTACATGAAAAACCCTGGCTATCACCAGTATGTATAGTAAGTTCGGAAAGCTCTGAAAACTTTAATGTGGATAATAGTTCAATTACTTTATAATAAAACTAATTAAAGTTATTACCATTCATACATTAATCGTATATTCTTAGTACGAAATTTATGAGTTGTTATAACCATACTTGACCATTGGATTGCCTGAACGACGTTCTTCAGGCGTCGGAATCGAAATCACTTTGTCACCCAGGCATGCTGGCCTAACTATAGCTAACAGTTATGGTGCGGGATTGTCAATCCCGTATAAATCTATACACAAACTCACGTTCTCCCGCAAGGAGACTCTGGTTATAATCTCAGGACTTTTGTTAGTACTTAAGTAAGTACGCGAATAATGCTCACTCATAAAATGCTATACTAACGATTACATGTAGAATAAAATGAATTCTTGAATTTAATTAGCTTAATATATGTCTCATAAACTATACTCTATATAACTTATATGTTTGATCACATTGAATCTTATGTTTGTACATTGATAAGATAGTTATCCTGTAAACTATACTAATTATAGTCTATATGTTCATTAATGTATTCATGTTAAACACTGAAAAACTCTATGATTTGTGTTGAGAACCTCCCTTATGCTCAGCAATATACAAAAGGGATGAAATATCTGAATATTTGATAAAAGTATGAAAACTGTGTGGTTGTGTCAATTGTATCAGTTCTAAGTGTATTGAAATCCTTTTTGTATAATTTTACAAGATCAATGATGTTTGGCTTGTATCCCCCCTGAAAACGTTAAAACTGTAAAGAAATAGGGGTATGAACTCACTTGATTAGGAGTGACTGGGATGAATAACAACAACAAGATGCTTGGTATGCGAAGTGAAGTCCCGAGCACATTATGGTCCTATTAAGCACATATTAACATGTATAGGCCTACAGTTAGTGTCTAAAACCACTAACAATCATAGGATACACCCTTAGGATGTAGGAAACACTCACAATGAAGTGTTAGAATCAAGAATGAGGGACAATAAAGTGTTCACGGCCAAACCTCCATGGGTTCACGGCCCAAGAGGTGTTCACGGCCCATGAACACATGAAGGGTTTATGGCCCAAGATGTGTTCACAGACCAAGAACACATGAATAATTGAAGGGTTTTCGACCCATTATGAAGGGTTCACGGCCCTAGGAAGGATTCACGGCCGTGAACTCTTGAAGACCATGAAGATGGTGATGAAAAAGTGATGAATCAAGGCTAGAATCAAGGGGTTTCTAAGCATGAACAAGTAAGGGATGAAATACTTACGTTTTGAGGCCTTTAAGAGTGTTCACGGTTGAAGATAGTTGAGAGAGAATGGGGATGCTCACGGCTGGAGCTTGAAAAATGAGGAGAAAAATGTGTGACTCACACACACACACACACACACATATATATATATATATATATATATATATATATATATATATATATATATATATATAATATATATATATATATATATATATATATATATATATATATATATATATATATATGGAGCGTGGTTCACGGCCGTGAACCTAGTTTGCGGCCATGAACTCCCTTTGAAGGTGTTCCATGCTCGATTGCATAATACAAATTCCAAGATAACGCTTCCCAACACTCAACCCTTAAGTGTAGTAGGCTTAAAGACTCTCAAACTGACCCTGAATACAATAAAGTGGTAACAGAAACGAGTCTGACTTTTATTGGATGAATTTGATTTACAGATAAAAATTTCGGGTTGTCACATCATGGTTGATGATGCTTCTGTCATCTCCTCCTTTTCAGGCTGTTTGCAGCCTTGGTTAGAAGTAAGATCCACAGTCACCATCATCTTCTAATAAGGGTTTTCTCTACAGGTAATGAAATCCATTTTCAATTCCTATAGCTAAATAAAGAACATAACTAATTGAAGACATGTTTGGGTACAAGAATTGTGAAATTGGAGTGTCTGAGTTCCTAAATTTTAAGTACATATGTTTCTCCATTGATGATACTCTTCTCCTTATTCCTTTCGGTTGATATTGATTATCTTCATGTATAAAGATCTTATTGCACCTAGAATTAGGTTGA